GTCCATGTTCCACATAATCTCATTATGCGAAATACACTCATTCAATATCTTGCCATATTAACAGTGCGGATAACACCGTTCCATTCTAAATGGGAATAACATGTATTTATAAAGTTTTTAATTAAAGATTCTGAACTTTAATTAAATTCATTATGAACAATTACTTTTGATTATTATCCTTAAACATTATCCTCTCATATACAACACTTATATACCATGTTTAAGGTTACATAAATAATCAAGGAATTTTATTTGATATTCATAAAATATTCATAAATATATGCACATAAAATGATGAATAAACTCTTTTATTAAATAAATAATAAATATCCTTTTACATCTCATGCTTCTAGGACACTATTCCCAACATAGCCGACAGTCTTCTTTACATTGATACTGCTGCTGACATCTGGGCAGATCTCCATGAACGCTTCCATCAGAGTAATGGGCCACGGATTTTCCAGATGAAGACTCACCTCGTGGCTTTGCATCAAGGAGCTCTTGATGTGAGCACGTATTTTACCCATCTGAAGATACTTTGGGAGGAGCTAAAGCTGTCCCAGCCAATTCCCGTTTGTCGCTGTGGAGGGATGAAAAGCTGGATGGAGGATCAGCAACAAGAGTGTGTGATGCAGTTCTTGATGGGACTGAATGAATCCTTCAGCCAGACACGAGCCCAGATCCTACTAATGGACCCCTTACCACCTTTGACCAAGGTGTTCGCTCTTGTGGTACAAGAAGAGTGCCAGCGGGCAATCAACGGTGGGATTCCTGTTCCCACCACTCTGGCCATAGGAGATTCACCTTCTACAGTTCCCACTGCAGCGGTGTCCAACTTCACACCTAGGCCCAGGCGAGACCGTCTGGTCTGTACCCACTGTGGCTTGCAAGGTCAGACGGTGGACAGGTGTTACAGAATCCATGGTTTTCCTCCTGGTTTCAAGACAAAGCCCAAGCAAGCACCATCTAGGCCACAAGTAAACTAGGTTGCAGCAGTGTTGTCTGAAGAGCGCACCCCAGAGGCTCCAGCCAGGGACTTAACTACTTCCCAATGCCAGCAGCTCATAGCCCTCTTAAGCTCTCAACTCCAGACCAGCGCCTGCTCAACTTCAGATCAGCAACAACCCAAACCATCAGTCTCAAGCTTCAGCGGTACCCTCTCTCTCCCTACTGTTTCAATTTTGTCTATTGCTTTTTTTCCTTCCACATATTGGATTCTGGACACGGGAGCAACACACCATGTTTGTTGCTCCTTATCATGTTTTGATCACTCTAAACCTATAACCAACTCCTCTGTTTCGTTGCCCACTGGTCTCACCGTAGAAGTCACTCGTATAGGATCTGTTCCTTTGTCAAATAACCTCATTCTTCACAATGTTCTCTATGTGCCACAATTTCGGTTTAATCTCTTGTCGGTCACCTCACTCACCCAGAGTCATCATTTGTCAGTTAATTTTCATTTTACCTCTTGTGTGCTCCAGGACCATATTCAGGGCCGAATGATTGGGATGGGTAGAAGAGAAGGAAATCTCTACGTCTTGGACTCTACAAGCCTAGCTCCTGATTCCTCTAGTCATTTACCAGTTTTCCCTAAGTCTACAGCAGATTGTAATAATTTTGCTTTAACAGAAAATGAAATTTGGCACTATAGGTTGGGACATCCCTCATATGTAAAGATTCACACATTGAGAAATGAATTGAAAATTACAGATATTACAAATGATTCTTCTCATTGTTCAATATGCCATTTTGCTAAGCAACGCCGATTGCCCTTTATTTCTTCCAATTCCTTATCTGCTTTGCCTTTTGACTTAATACACTGTGACATATGGGGGCCCTTCACACTAATGACCACTGAAGGTTATCGCTATTTTTTAACCATTGTAGATGATTGTACACGTTTTACTTGGGTATACTTGATTTGTGCCAAATTCGATGTCAAAATTGTATTTCCAGATTTTTTTCACTTTGATTCAAAACCAGTTTAATACAACCATCAAGTCGGTTAGGTCTGATAATGCCAAAGAATTGTCTTTCTCTGAATTTTTTTGCAAAAAGGGCATCATCCCTTACGATTCTTGCACAGACACCCCCCAACAAAATTTTGTTGTTGAAAGAAAACACCAACACATTTTGAACGTAGCTCGAGCTCTTCATTTTCAGTCTCACATACCTCTAGATTATTGGGGAAACTGTGTACTCACAGTCGTTTACCTCATTAATCGAACTCCATCCCCCCTCCTGTTGAATAAAACTCCTTTTGAACTTCTTTGGAAGAAGAAACCATCATATTCACACCTTAGGGCTTTTGGTTGCTTATGTTATGGTTCCACACTCAATAGACATCGACACAAGTTTTCACCTCGAGTCATAGAGTCTGTTTTCCTTGGTTATCCTGCCGGGTACAAGGGTTATAAACTCCTTGATCTTGCCACCAACTCCATATATATTTCCAGAGATGTTGTTTTTCATGAAACAACTTTTCCCTTCAAAACAGAAAATTTTTTGGATTCCTCTATTGATTTCTTCTCTGACAGAGTGTTACCATGTGTCTCTGATGTTGAGTCTCCTCCTCCCATGTCCAATCCTCTACCTGATTCACCTTCCACTTCCACACGTCCAATTCGCCATGTTAAGACCCCTTCTTATCGCCGAGACTATCACTGCTCCAATGTCTCTCTTCTTTCATCATCCACGGCTCATCCCCTCTCTCATGTGTTGAGCTATGACAAATTGTCCAATGATCACAAAGCTTTTATCAACTCTGTCTCCACACACTTCGAACCATCCAGTTTCTCTCAAACTGTTGCTGTACCGGAATGGAGAAAGGCAATGACTGCCGAGCTTGAAGCTTTTGAGCAGAATGCCACATGATCAGTGACCACTCTTCCTGCCGGGAAGCATCCCATTGGTTGTAAATGGGTTTACAAACTTAAGTACCGGGCTGATGGGACCCTAGAACGTCACAAAGCCCGTCTCGTTGCAAAAGGATACACGCAACAAGAAGGCATTGATTACCTTGACACTTTTGCCCCTGTGGCTAAAATGGTGACGGTTAAGGTCCTTCTTGCCCTTGTTGCCATCCATGGTTGGTCTCTCATCCAACTTGATGTGAATAATGCTTTCCTTCACGGTGATCTCCAAGAGGAAGTTTACATGTCCTTACCTCATGGTTATCACCGTGAGGGGGAGTCCTTACCTCCTAATCCTGT